TAAGTAGCACATTTTCCCACGTTTATTTCTGCAATTTATTTTCCAGGAAGAATTCAAAATATTAGCAATGAAAAAAATTATTTTTAGTGTCTAAATTATATAATGTCTCAGCCCAGTAAAGAAGATTGTCGCCTTAGTTAGATTGCCGCCTAAACTCTGTTTAACCTTGTTATCACTTCTGAGCCTACGTTCTTTTGCTAATATGTGTAGTGTACTGGTAGAGAAAACAGTAAGGCTAGAGAAATATATTTAAACGTTATTCTACCGCTAAGATTCTACCACCATATTTCATACATCGCTTTCTCTATCTCTCACCATTCTTGTCTTAAAACTGGTTCTCCAACCTATCTTTCTCAGTTTTCACTCCTTTTCGACCCCCAACAATCTGAAATCAAATGGTCTTTTAAAGTTGGTACTATCATGCTATTTTCTTGGTTATTATTTTTTAAAGTTAGATTTATTGTATTTAGTATAATTTATTTGTTTCAAATGTGCTATATTTTGGCATTTGAGCCTTTGCAGACACGGCTCCCCAAGTGTAAGAACCTTTTCATTGGTGGTATCATCTGGTGGCGGCTCCCGTTACCAAACATTTGACGCTGGAATTTATTCAAGATCTTGTTTTTTTTTTTTTTTTTTTTTTTTTTCCCCGGAGGTTAAATATTGCCATTTCCGAGATTACCAGAGTCCAAATTGATACTCAAGGTTTATTTTTACGTACCGCATGTTGGGATGGAACCCCGGAACGTATCAAAAATAATTTATTTGTTCCTATTTTGTTGCATCTGCGTATTCTGCATACTTCAAAAAATGTTTAAAAAGTTCGATAATTTATAAACCGTCATAAAGTTTTACAACGTTCTCTCGTTTATATCATGTCATGTATGATTTTATTTCGTTATAATTCTCTTCCGAAGAAGCAACAAAAAGCTTTCTCCATTTTCAATACACAAGTAGCCGCTTGTGAAGAGCATAGCTTCCACAATACCCTTTTAGTTGAGTCAATTAGTAAGGAGGAGAACGTGGTTTTTTGAGTGCTTGAGGGAGTGGGACGGTAGGGAGAGTCATTGGCCTATGTGTAAAGATGTTATCGCGATTTTTATTCAAAAATAGCTCCCAACTGTCTGCTGCTTCTGTTAGATGCAGTACAGGTTGACCCCAGTGAAAATGCTCTTACTTTTTGCAAGACATTCGGACTTGAGATTATTTGGAACATCGCCCTCGCTGGATACAACTGGAAGCTTAAAGTCCTCAAACATTAAGTGTATTTGAAACCTTCTGAATTTTTTTGAAAGCACTAAAAAACTCTAATCCGATGTTAAAATTAGCAAACGGAGCAGAAATAATGATTATTATACAACAATTAGGGAATAAATTTCGAAATAAAACAAGGAAACTTACGTCATTTATCGGGTTTCGTAAAATAAATTGCAACAGAATCGAATTCCAAAATTTGAAAAATATTGCGTAAGAGTACAAGGAATTCACTCCATTAATGCTATAGGAAAAACATAAAACTCTGTTTTATTTCAGTAAATTTGTTTTACATTCACATTTGTACGTTGGTTATCCACTTCTTATTTTTACAGTAAACCCTTAAATGGGATTTCGAATAACATGAAAAAAAAAAGTAAAAACTCCTCGATAATATAACACCAGAAATATTACACCCCAATCTCTTTGAAGCTCTTAAGGCAAAAACAGTGCACTGCTTGTACAAACCGAACTACAGTTACGAAAACAAAACTAAAAAAAAAGTTCGATTTTTCCAATCGTATCTTCTTTAGATAGTTTCTCACCTGAAAACAATATCCCAAAGTGGATTTCAATTACTCTCTCCCGAAAAAGGCGAAAATTTCTTTCCTTTATTTGCTCTCCGTCGGTTTTTTGGAAGAAAACAAAAACCAGCTTTGGTTGCATTTGGAAAATAAGTGCGAATAAACAATTTCGATTCTGCCCCTCCCCCTCCCCTTCTAACCCCTGGAATGCAACAAAAGGGAAAACAAACGCAGTTACTTATCCGTGTTTTTCCGCTACATCATGCTCTAATAGAGATTAATGCGGTTATTATTCCGACTCAAGACTGTTTCTTCTATTTCCCCTCTTAATGGCGACAGCTCCTCTAGGTCTTGCTTTGTTTGCAGAGGATGCGGAGCATCTCTGTATGAAGATGGGGAGCAGAGATACCCTCGATATGAAAAAGCACAGGTGTTCTTTCAAGCTGTTCGTTTCGGATTGCTACTTTTTCATTTTCCTTTCTTTTTCCCCAAATTGAGGGTCTTTGGCAAATGGCTCTGAAATGGAACAGGGGGTTATTCATTCAACTCAAGAGCATTCAATTAAAGAGAGTAATTTAGAGAATAAGGAGCTAGAAATGTAAAAGGTTATTTCATTATTTTTCGAAAGTTTGTGATTTATGAATGTACCTCATTCAACGTGGACACGTTTTTTTAGTATGCATCTTTCAAATAGACTCTTCAAAAGATCATGTTAACTTCCCTTTTTTGCTTGTTATAATAGAAATGCTTCTCGATAAAGCTATTATCCGCGAAAACTTCTTTTTAATGTAAGTCGGACCCCGATTTACCAAACCCCTATTTAACGAATCTCGCGATTTAACGAATTTTTCTCGTTCGCCGGTTAAAATAAAAACAAAAAACAATATATAACGAATAAAAAAACCCCGATTTAACGAATTATTTCAACAAATGAATTTTTTATTAATTTGAATTAAAAAAAAAATTTAATTCTTTTTCAAATGACACTTTTTTTTCCAGCACAGAAAAGAATTTTTTTGTTCGCTGCAAATTTCGACAGGAAAGGGTTGTGCCCACAATGACTTGACAGGTGCAGATGACTCATAAGTGTAACCTATCGTGTGAGTTACGAATTGGCCAGGAAATTTTTTTAATGTTTTATCCCACTTCACAACGCAGGGCATTTTTTTTTTAGATTTTAACGGAAGGTGTTGCATTTAATGATGAACTGCGTATCTGTGTAATTAAAGCTGAAGAAATCGTTGTATTATCGGAGCCAATGAATAGCGATTTTGATACAGATGCTGATAATTAAATATTATCAAAATTCTTAAACTTCTAAGGTTTTACATTGCTTGGAAACTGTGAAAATATACCTCTCGCTTATGCAGCAGGACGTGAATGATTCAGTATTTTCTTCTCTGTATAAAATCGAAAAAATATCTTTTTTGAGTCAGAAATCAAAAAGATTGTCAAACACCTATTAGTCATTTAAAATTTCCCAATGAACTAGTGCTTGATAAAATTTACTTAAAGTATTTTTAGTTGTTGAATAAAAATAATGTAATTTCCAACTATGGATATATTTTGTGTGGTTGCGTTTTATAAAATTCTCAGAAGGTAAGCTTAAAAAATTTGTATTTTGTTTGGGCCCCGAATTACCCCGAATTAATGAACAAAGAGTATTAGATCCCGATGTGAATATTCCTTTATGAAGTAGTCAACAGAATAACCTTTTTCATTAACAGTTATCCTCTTAGCAATAAGTGACAAAATAAATAAATAAAAACCCATCTACATTTTTTCTTCACCTTTTTTTCTTTCTGTTTCATAAATGTGATTAGTGAATAACTTAAGATTCCTATTGTGGACTGGAAAATTTCACATACATTAATTCACTCTATTTTGCAGGGATTATTTGGGTGTATTCCCAATGAAAACGTTTCAAGTTGAAACGATGTGTGTGAAATTTTTTATCCTTACAATATCATAATGTTTTTAATATTAATAGTAATAATGTGCTTCTAATAACAATATCTAACAATAATTATACACTTCAAATAATAATTATGATTTGATCTTAATACTAAAATATGTTTTTGATAGCAATAACATACTTTAATAATAAAAACTTGTCCCTAATAATAATAATGCTTATGATAATAATAATAATTTGCTTTTCATAATAATAATTGCTTCTAATAATGATAATTTGTTTCTAATAACAATAAAAAAAGCCCTTTTTATATAACTTCAGTAACTAAACGAGCAAGTCAAAGTTTCCGATGCACCAATCTAACAAAACATTGTTTTCAGAAATCAGTATAATAAACAGCCAATATTTTTAAAAATAAAATGAAAAAAAAGTTTTTAGAAATAAAATTTACAGGCTTTACTTCTGGAAATGTGAGCTAAATAACCAATCCTTTCCTAGAACTGTTGGGTGTAAGGGAAATTTCTGTAGTTTTTTTTCCAATAAAGAAAAAAAAAGTTCGAATTTCCCGTCGAAATTTGCGGCTTACAAGTCTTTTCCTTCTCCGAACAAAAAGTATATGCCACTTGAAAAAATGCATTTTTTTTCTATTACAAACTATAATAATAAAAAAAATTCAGTTTTTGAAATGATTCGTAAATTTGGGGCTTATTATTCATTAAATAAGGGGGGGGAGGGCCTCTCTTCCTTTTAATATGGGAAAGAGAAGTAGTTAAATCAGGTGAATATATTTGTTAAATCGTGAAATTCGTTAAATAATGATTCGGTAAATCGAGGTCCGACTGTAGAAAAAAAAGTATTTTTCTGTTGCGGGGAAAGAGGATGTCATTTGTAAGAAATTAATTTTTTTCTTATCCAAGCTAATATATAATTTTTTTTTCAGTTATTGAAATAAATCGTTGATTTTGGCTTTATATATTACTCTTTAAATATGAGTTTTAGCCGTCATTTTAATTGAAACAAATAATATAAAAATTTTCTTTTAAAGTCAATTCCTACTAAGGACAACAAAGAAAAAAACTTTAGTTATTTTTCATTAAATAATTACAATTATATAATATAAATATGAATAAACATATAACAGAATCACAATATTTAGTGGCAAAATAGAAAACGATTTTTCTTGTACAAAATTTTCTTTTTATATATGCTGCAGGAATAATATTTTGTTTACTATTTTTTCATTAATTAAGTTTAATTATTTCAATAAATAGTATAGTAACAAGAAATCACATTCTCAGAAATTAGGCCATCCCAGGTGGGATTCGAACCCACGACCTTTGGATTAGAAGTCCAAAGCGCTATCCGTTACACTATAAGGACACATCAAGCACTTTCTTCTTTTTATATATCGTGTTGGACTATTATTTGTGTTTGTTACTATTTATGCATTTTTTAAATTTAATTAAATAATCAATGTTTTAAAAACAGTATTAACACATCCAATGTCATCCAATACAAGTTTAAAAAAATGTATTTGAACTTGAGTTGTGATGAATAATAAGTATTTTTTAAGGGTTGAAAATCGGAACAAGATATAAATAAATATATAAAGAGAGAGTGTGAATTGATAGTACGAATTAAAAAAAGAAAAAATTCGTTAAATCGAAAAATTCGTTTGATAGGATAAAACAGAATATTCGAGAACAAATAGTTACATAATGTATTTTTGAAAGGATAAAAATTTGAGATTTGCTATTTAACTTTTCAAACTTTAATACAATAGGTTTGAGCGTCAGTATTCTCCTTCAAGTTAATGATTCTCATTATATTACGACCTTTACTTAAAGTCCTAATTTAGATGTCTAGGAACACTTCATCAAATCTTATAATTCGCCAAAGTGATCGTTTAGCACTATGACCTCATTTAAAGAGAAAACGTCGAAAAGCCAGTCTCGCTCTATATTATCGAAAACCGATTGTAATTTTTACAATAAAAATACATTCTTCGATTATTACTCGCAGTTTTACATTGTGAATATCATGTAAGATCTCCATGGATTTGTGATCTTTATAATTACCAAATATTTAGATTTAAGTGGGAAATATAAATTGATTTTTTAAAATCTGTTTTACTTACCAATCTATTTCAAAGGGAATTAATTGTTAAAAGCAGTACTTATATTTTATTCAGAAAACTTTGATTTTTTTTCTGCTTTATTAATGCCAATTTGGAGAAGAATTCATGGACTTAAGGGAACCAGGACATCATACATATTTGATTTTTCAATTTTAGTATTAAAAATAGTGTATATTTTTCTGAATGCATAACATTTATATTTCCTTTGATAAAATAACCTTAAAATATGAAAAAGTAATTGACAAAAATGTAAACAAACGTTTACAGATGTTTAGTTATTTTCCCTTTTTCTCCAAAGCATAATTTTTTGCATTTAGGTACACTTTAAAAAAACATAAGCACGTATAATGAGATCTCAAAAATTATGTCCACCTTAAATTAAACAGAAAATACAATTTTTTTTAACTAAAAAAATTATTTTTGTTTTTCTACAGATTGAGTAAAATATCCTAATTACGGTCACAAAAATGTCTCGGTTCTAATGGAAATTTTAGTAGATATGTCCCATAAACAAAGAGTTTTATTTTTGGCATTTTATTTTTTCGACCATGTTCTGGTGCCTTAAGAGGTTACGGAAATATTACGGGGAATTCTAATTTTAATAAGAAGGGAAGGGATGGGTTCTCAATAAGTATTTTAGGTGCAACAGTCGGACTCCAGTATAACGAAGTCATTTGGATCGAATATTTTGCTCGTTAAATCGGAGTTAAAACAAAATACAATTTTTTTGCATTTACCTTTTGGAAATTTTACAAAAAGGCAACTACACAAAAAATATCTATAGTTAGCAATTCTACACTTTTTATTCATTAGCTGAAAATACTTTTATTGAATTATTACGCACTAGTTAAATGGAAATTTTAAAATACTGACTGCCAGATGTTTGACAATCTTTTTGAATCCTGACTCGAAAGAGTTCTTTTCTCGACTTTATGCAGAGAAGAAAATACTGCATAATTTACATTTTGCTGCATGAAGTAAGTTTTCAGTTTCCAAATAATGTAAAACATGAAAAAATGTAACAGTTCTGATAGGAAGTTCATTATCAATTTTCTGCATCAGAATCGCTATTCAATAACTCCGACAAATCGACAATTTTCTCAATTTCAATTGCACACATATTCAGTCCGTCATCAAATGTGACAAATCGTTGAAATCTTAAAATATCACCTGCATTGTGGAGTGGTATGAAATAAGAAATTTCCTGTCCTATTCAAAACTCACACGATATGTTACACTCATGGCTCATCTGCACCTGTTAAGTATAATAACGCTTTGCATCCTTGGCCATCGAAATTTTTAATGGGCAAGAAAAATCTTTTTTCCGTTTTGGACAAAAATATGTCATTTGAAAAAAAAAAATTTCTTTTAACACAAACTAATAAAAATGTTTCAGCTGTTGAAATAATTCGTTTATTTGAGGTTTATTTGTCAAATAGGGAGTTTTGCCTTCATTTTAATCCGTGAAAAAGAAAAATTCGTTAAATCATGAAATTCTTTTAATAAGGGTTCGTTAAATTGCATTTCGTTATATATTACAATTTCAGAGCTTATAAATTATAGTATTTTTGCAATAAATTAACATATATGATTTGAATGCTGAAATCCAAACCAAAAATAATAGCCACAAAAGTTCTTAAATATTTGTGCTTGTATAAATATTATTTACAAATTTAAATGGTACTTATAAGCAATTTTTGATGTAATAAAGAATAATTTTATAATATGTTTTACTGTATCTGATGCTTTTCGGTGAATTTTTAGGCATATGAATTCGTTATAGGGCCTTTTTTTCAAGTAATGTTAAATTAAAATTATGTACAAGTAGTGAAACTTAATTAATACCTAGGATGAGTACCTTGATACAAAGGTTATGTCGTATATGCAACAGATTTCATGACTTAATTTACTTTTATTTCAAGTCGCATAAGTAACATAAATGCTATTGGTAACGGACCTCTTAATTCTGATTCCCCGTCTAGTGACGAGAACAACATTTAAGCTGGCATCTACCACCAAACTTTCACACCACTCTTTCAGACTCGACAGATTTAATTTGAATCGGCTCCTCTTCACGGCATGTCTTCAGTGACCTAGATTTCTAATCCGTGACTCGATATCACTGGTCGTAAAAAATTAATACTGTAGCTTAAGGAGTACGTGACTAGTAATATAGACGAAATATTTATTTAGTAACTGCATTCGTAAGGAAATTACATTCACAGTACGCAAAAATATTTCCCCCCTCACATTTGAATGATTTTTAATGTATTTTTAAATGACTTATACAATGATAGTTTTGGGAATTTCTAAGAGCTTTCGGTGAAGAATGCAGACATATCATAAGGGGAACTATGAATTCAAGTGCCTTTTCGTCTCATAGAATAAAAATAAATTTCAAAAAATCCGTTAAAATGACAGATTTTCTTATTCTATTAAAGTAACCCTTAGTTAAGTTTTAATCAACTCATCACTTAATAGCCTTTATGGATTCGGAATGTTCCAACTGTAGATGAAAGCATTAGTAAAGAAAAGAAGAAAAAAATGGAGTATTGAGTTTCAACTTATTTTTAATAATTTTTAAGTACTCTCTCTTCAAACTGAAAGTGTTTCTACGATATTAAATGAAAAAACGAAGTTATTCTCTAAATTAAAATATTATTTTTCGCAAACTGCAACCGCTAACAAATGGGAGCTATAAAACTAACCAATCAGTACGGATTCTGAAATTTCAATCTTCTCTTTTCAAAGTTAAAACTCTCCTCACAACAAATGCATAAACAACAAACAATCATCGCCTGCAAAAGAAAAGAGAATAGGGGGTGGATTTAGTGTGTGTGGCATCCCTTTCCTCTCGCGCTCGCTTCTTTTGGTATTTTGACGCTTACAAATGGCCCGTATGTGTGAGATTTTTAATAAACGAGATCTTTCAAAAATGGGAATGCAATTTGCGGGATTCTGCTTTGGCTCTCATGAAAGCGAGAAGAGAGAGAAAGAGATTAAATGAGATTTCTCTCCACACACAAAATTTTTTCCCCTCTATGTAAGAAGAAATAAACAAAGAGAAAAGGATTTTGAGTATTGTCTTTGGAGCTTTCTGAAAGAAAAGCAATTCGAGGGGAGAACACGATCTGGAAATGAAAGGTTTGGATCGGATTATAATTTAACATGCCTCCGCAAGAAATAATCAAATTATTTCTGGGAAAAGCCGCTTTTGCTTATATTTATTTAACACCTCTTTGGAAAGTTTTCTGCGTGATAAGGCGGGGGCCTTGCTCACCCCAGATATTTAGCTTAGCCTTTGGACAAATATTATTCGTGGAAGGTAAATAAAAGGGAAAGATTTCTCAGGTAATCGTTCTTTCTGACTGATGTGTTTATAGGAAGGAATTAGGAGTAATCTTCCTCGGTTGGAATGTTTTTTTGTTGGATTATGCGCTTAGAATCCGATCTTTGTGATGAATCACCCGTTATTTTGGTTTCAAAACTTGTTCTAGTTATTTTTTAAAGAGACTCCATTTGGTATAATGTTATGTTATACATACCGATGGTTGAATTAGTGCTGGATTCTGAAATGGCTTCTCTACAAAATTAATTTCGTGAATTTATAACCCTTACTGAAGGTAACAATCTTTTTCTTTCTCTTTTCCGTCGAAATTTCCGGAGTGTCACGGGTTCGAGTCCTGCTGCCACTAAAGAACAGCTATGTAGAGGTGGCCGATGCACGTTTAGTTTGTCGTGTCTCAATGCCCTACCGTTGATGTGGTGTGGCATTAGCTCAGATGTCGTCCTTTTCTCTTGACCAGTCAAAATGATGAAGTCCGACGCCAGTAGTCCTCGTGTTGCTTTATAATGCGACATTAATAAAACTCTCTTATTCCGTAAAAAATAAAAAACTGAAATGTATGCAACAAAACTACGGGCTTTAAATAATCATAATTATGTTTTGTTGAGCTGTATGAATTTGAATTTCTTTTAATATTAGATTTTTTTTTAAAATTCTGTGAAGTAAGTCCTTTTATTTCAGCCATTTTTCACTAGAATTTAAAAGAATAGAAATTTGTCTATTTTCAACGTAAGTTTAAAGGCATTAATGTTACAAAATTGGAAAAACTAATAAATAAATCGATCGAATAAAACAGTGATTCTCAATCACTGTGCCCGTCACCTTTCTGTGCTGCTATTTTTTAAAATTATTAATATAATACACTTGAGAGAAAAAATAAAATCTAGAACCGAATCA